ATACTCGCATTTATGAAGTGAAGGTTATTACCCAATATGCCCCTTCCATATATGTTCACAATGCTTAATTAAAATTCAAATTTTAAAAATTAAAATTTTAAATTGATTAATTTACAACCATTGATCATTTGTTTGGATGGCCAAGATCGGTTAATAAGGTTAACATGAAAGGGTTGGTTAGCATTTGATCTTGGCTCTATAGATATATATATATATATATGTATATATATATATATATATTGTGATGCATGGTATATTCACAAGTATAAGCTAGGGGAATATATACATGTTAGGGCCCATAACTCCGTTGACATTTAGGCTACCATCAGCAAGCAACGATTCTTGTTGATTTTTCATTGAGTCATGTATGAGTTAAGTTATTTGTATGGAATCAACTAAACTTTTGTATTGTTGAATGAACAATCTCTATGACATAAATGACTTTTCACCCCTTTGTTTATATTAAACCTTGATTAAAATAATTGTTCGATGAATATTAATTAAGCGATTGATTTTGAATGATTAAAAATATAGATTTGAAGGTTTTTCTTGACAAAAGGTCGTATTGTTTTCTTTTAAAATTACAATATCTATCTATCTATCTATATAATATCATTATATATAGGTCTCAGCCATCATATTTGTAAAATAATACAACTAGCGCATGATTTAACACTTAGAAGAAAAATTCTTATTACTTATCTTGTAATGTTCATATCCGATATGCAACATTTATCGGATCTGACACAAAGTGTATTGACATCCGTACCACTACTAAAAAATCAAGTATCAGCGAGAGAAAAAATCCTTCGTAGATCAACGAGGGATTGTGTTTTTGGCAATTCCCTCGCTGATCAGCGAGGGAATCTGTTTTTTGCCATTTTTTTATTTAATAACTATAAATTTAATTAATTATTGATTATTAAATTTCTAATTATTTATTATTTTTTAGAAAATTATAAAAATTAATTAATAAAACCGAATAAAACTCATTAGGCCCAATAAAATTGAATAAAACTCATTAAGATCTATTAAACCGAATAAAGTCCAATGAAACTAAATAAAGCTCATTAAGACCCAATAAACTCAATAAAGCCCGGTAAATGGATTAAGGTCCAATAAACTCAAACAAAGCCAATTAAATGGGATAAGGCCCAATAAAACCGAATAAAGCCATTAGGCCCAATAAAACCGAATAAAGTCCAATAAAATGGATTAAAACCCAATAAAACCGAAACATGTATACATACAATACCTACATATAAAAATGTGTACATATAACAAATAAAAACGGACAATTCCCTCGCTGGTCAGCAAGAGATCAGCGAGGGAATCTGTTTTTCGCCATTTTTTTATTTAATAACTAAAAGTTTAATTAATTATTAATTTTGAATTATTGATTAATAAATTTCTAATTATTTATTATCTTTTAGAAAATTACAAAAATTAACTAATAAAACCGAATAAAGCTCATTTGGCCCAATAAAACCGAATAAAGCCCATTAAGGTCTATTAAATCGAATAAAGTTCAATAAAACTAAATAAAGCTCATTAAGACCCGATAAACTCAATAAATCCCGGTAAATGGATTAAGGCCCAATAAAACCGAACAAAGCTAAATTAAATGAGATAAGGCCTAATAAAACCGAATAAAGTCATTAGGCCCAATAAAACCGAATAAAATCCAATAAAATGGATTAAGGCCCTATAAAACCGAACATTTATACATATGATACCTACATAAAAAACAAGAAAATAGGACAATTCTCTCGCTGATCAGCGAGGGAATCTGTTTTTTGTCATTTTCCTCGCTGATCCCTCGCAATAAATTTTTTGCAATTTACTTTTCCGCATCCGTTATTTACTTTTCATTATTTACATCATTTGCGAGAAGAAACTGAGTGATAATGGGTTAAACGCCTTAACTTGGGGTGTAAGTGAAAATTAAGACCGAAGCCGATGTGAAAGTAAAGAGATGTCTTATTAGCATTATAGTCAAACTATTTGTTTCAAGTGATTAATATGTTATTGAAGATTACATTGAATTAATTGACAACTAATTTTATATATGAAAATGCAATAACTTTTAGAGTTAAGATAAATAAGAAAACATGAGGTAATAGGAGAAGGCTATAAAGAACTTTAGTATCTGACAAGTACTATACTTCTACGGTGTAAGATGATAACATTGTGATGTGCTAGGATTCATACATCTAACATAAATGATATTGTATCAATAGCAGGTTGGTATGTGTCTTAATCAACCGTTGCATCATGTGCTTCTTTTTACAACTGATATTTTCTTAGTTTCTAATCAAACCCTTCAATTTTAGATAAAAACAAATCCCTCTAATTCGTCGTCTGAAAGTAGTTTTTATAAACGGGACTTTTGAAGAACTTTACAAAGCTCTCTTTAAGAACGATATCTGGTACTTATATATCATTATTACTTGTTACAAGCCAATAGTAGTTCAAGGTGTATAGTTACACTGAGTTCTACTTTTATGTTGAAGTATGAGATTGCATAAACCGAACAAGCAGCTACTTTTGAAGACCTTTCATCTCAAGCATCAAGGAAGTAGTTCAACATGCTCGGAATGGCCCCTTTTGACTTTTCGTAATTAATTAGTTTGTGTTGGTCCCAAAAGGGTCTACAAGAATACTAAACAGTTTG